GAGATGCTGGATTGCTAAACTGCCACCCAAAGACAGCGCTTTTTTATGATAGTCGGACATGAGATAAAGCTGCTTATACTCGACCCAAAGTAGATCGGCTGTCTGGCTTCGATGCACACGTCGCTTGGGGTTTTCCGCGGCCACTGCCCATCCTTGGGCAGAGACCTGGTTTCCGAAAGAGGCCAAAAGTCATCTCCAACAAATCTGATGGGAAAAAATAGAGCCCAGAGCCGAGGAGCCAAATGGTCAAGCTCTGCTGTGGCCCAAGGAGTGGCCACAAAATAACACCCCTCTCCGCGTGTCAGGAAGCAGCTCCAGCTAAGGCGGGAGCAAAATGCCGCACGGTGAAGCAGGCCGGGCTGCGCTCATGGCGAAAAGGGGATCACCTCTGTCCCCGTCTGTGAGCTCCTGATGTGCTCATTTAAAAGCCGCCTTCGTCTGTTAAGTGTCACACTTGGTGTTTCCTGTGGACTCATCCTCTTTGTCTGAGATGTTACATCCTCTGAGGGAGGATGTTACGGAAATGAGGACACTCCTGAGAAGGACCAGGAGTCCTCGCTGGCAGCTTTGTTATCCCCACGCTGACAGGTCTGTCCAGGGACAGATGCCAGCCAAGGGCCGCTTATCACCTTTGGAGATAAAGGCCTTAGCCCCCCAGCAATCAGGAAAGCCAAGGCAGAAGCTAAGCTCCTGCTTTTGTCAGGTTCAGTGAACAGCAGCCACTTGTGCCAGTGTGGCCTGGGCCTCTCCCAGGAAGGCAGCCTCCGGGGGGTTCCCCCAGGGCGGGGCAGATGGCAGGCGTGTGCTTCCATCCTAGCCCCACCACTTTCTCACCAGGCATCTTGGGCAAGTGACGTAATGCGCTGTGCCCTGGTTTTCTGTGGAATTGAAACAGACGCTGTTCCACTGGGCTGTGAAGACCAATGGAACTGACTCCTGTAAAATGCTCAGCACAGTGCCATACCTAGTAGGCATTCAGTGAGCGGGGTTATGACTGTTATGCAGCATTACAGGATACAGTACTGTCATTTCCAGGTAAGCAAACCAGATGGAGCCATAAACGTAAGTCAGAGTGAAATGACATTGGCCCCATGATGGCCAAATATGGACGGCTTAGATTACACTTAGTTGGATATTCCTGTGCTGCTATTTCTACATCCCTCTGCATGCTTAAAACACATGTGCGTGTGTACTTTCAATTAAAGTATGCTGCTTCCCAGGAAAAGTGTGTACCATTGAGAACCCTCGATTGTGTAACGTGGCAACCACATCTCCCTGTAAACCAAGGACTTTCTGACAGAGCTTTCACAGATTAACCCGATCTGTTCACCAGCTGAAATTCCATATTTTCAGACCTCTGTTTATATCTAGCTCTTCAGGTGAAATTTCATGTACAAGCAAAAATATTTCTACAAAGTATCACTAAAATCAAATTAACTATAATGTAGTGTAATCTAATATAAACTGAGTCACATAGCAACTGCCCTGAAGATTAGACAGGACTTTGCCAGAAAGCAAGAGGTCTCCATTGATCTCACAGGAAAATTACATCAAGAGTACCTAGCCCATGCCTTCACTGTGGCTGTGTTTCGTAGCATATGGGCAGAATCTAACATCACTGCTCTGAGCTGTGTTGATGTTGTGATTCCAGGTTTCTGACATGGAGTTACTGGAAGCCACCCCTCCAAACAAGAAGGGGAGCGTTTCTCTGCTGCAGCCTCTGAAACGGTTTCATGGGACATTGGTCCTCGTCCATTTGGAGGCCCTGGGCCTGGTGTAGCAGACACATGACTAACCACAGCTCTCTGTCCCACCCTCCCCATGCGACTACCCCCACCCCAAGCAGATCGAAACCAGCCTGCCCTTGGTTGAAAATGTCAGATAGACAGGAAGCTGTCTGTTTTTCCATAGAGATCGACTCATTTGTAGCCCTCTATAGAAGGTTCTCTTTGTTCCTGGGAGGGTAAGAAGAGGAGCTCTGTTAGGTAGAACTCAGGACAGAGTGTAGCCTTATAATCAGAGGGAGCCAGGGGTGTTTGCAGGGTACAGACTGGGTTAGTTACAAGATCCTCTGCTCTCTGAACAGGAATTTCTCCAAGAGCAGGCTCAGAACACCGCCCCCCGAGTCCCCAGGAGGGTGCGCTGTGCTAGCTCTTGAGCCCAGTGCCTGGACACCATGAAGCCCACCAATATTAGCTCTCTTCATTGCTTGGCATGAGCCCCTTCCAGAACCATCTGGTGCTTCTCTTGTTTCTACCACCTGTGTCTCTGGGCTTCCACTCTTGCAGCTTAGCTATGGCAGTGCTGGTCATGCCATTTTGAGATCTTCCCGTGGCCTGGCTGAGCTCTGCACAGCAAACTCTTGCAGTCCCCACTCCTACCCACAGGTGCCTTCACAAGGTCTTTGAAACCCTGAGAGCTTCCTAATCTCCTCAGAATTAAGTCACTTGAAAGAGATCTGGAGTTGCAGGTGAGATGCTTCTGAGGTAGTCTGTGAGCTCAGCCTAAGCTCTTCCCTTCAGTATACTCGTGTGAGTGCTGGGTAAGGGTAGGTGCATAATGTAGGTGTATTTGAGAACTCGATTTGAGTATTTTTGCCTCATTAACAAAAATAACTCATGTTTATTGCCCAGAAAAAGTTGAAAAGTCACGCTTGATTCTAAAAATTAACATTTTGCTTTCTTTCTAGAGTTTTCCATTTTAAAGGATTTGCTCCCTGGGCTCTCTTACCAAGCTGTACAGCCCCTCCATGCCCCAGCAGCAGGGATAGAAATGTCAGAATCCAATCCCAACTTCCAACATGGGAAACTTTAGGCACAGGCCTGCTTGGGTTGCCCTCCCTCCAGCTCCTTCACCTTCTCATCCCTCAAAAGTAAAACTCCTGTGGGGAGCCTCAGTGGCTCCTAGCTAATTCACAGCAGAGCAGCTGTGGTGAGGGTCCCGAGCCTGATTCTTTTCCACTGACAAAGTTGGGCATGTGAATGGCTTTACAAAGTAATAAGTGGTTAGTATTGTTAATGTCAACCTAATTGAATAATTTTAATTATTCAACCTCATAAATATGTGTAGCATTTTTTAACGAATGAAAATCTTTAGATGTCTTGTCTTTGCCTAAACCTTAATACCCACCAGTGCCTTGGCGCAAACCCTTCTTAGGGTCTCGTCCTCTCCCTCCTCCTTTCCAGGACAACGATGGCCAAGAGACCTCTTGAGAGGCAGCACAGTGGAAAGTGATGGCCAAGACAAGCAGCACAGTGGAAAGTGATGGCCAAGACAAGCGAGGGGTTTGACCTCTCTTCTGAGTTCTTTGACACTAATTACTCAGGTTTTAGGTGGATACAGGTCCGTTGTGAGAGTTGTTACAAAGTGTATGTAAAGTATAATCTGTAGTTTTGCTTTATAAGGAACTGCTCTGCAGAATGGACTCTGGATTTCATAGTGAATATAATGTCCTCAGTGAGAAGTTGGCTTAAGTCAGAATGTTGTTTGAGGTAGGTTCATTGTGTGATTCTGTGGAGCCATTTGACATGTGCGTCTAGATGACTTGAAGTCAGACCCTTGTAGTAGAGACAGCTATCATGGTATAGTTGGATTTTAACAGTGCACCAAACAGCTTTCTGCGGAACATTCACAATTTCAGTAAAGGACGTTTTTTAATAGATACTGGAAAAGGATTTCTGTCTACAACTAGAATTTCCCATTACTCTTCAGCATCCCTTGCTGAACCTTAGTCGTAACAAGAGAAGCATTAGGAAATGTTGAGAAACCGAATTTTAACACTGGATGTAGATCTTTCCTGTGCTTGGTTGCGACGCTCTATCATGAACTGGTCTTACATGTGTGGAAGTACAAAGTATTAACAGTAATCAGACAGGATCAGTGCCATTTAACGCACTAAACACTTATTGTATGTGCTTGAGTAGGTGGTAGAGAGGATTGTTGGTGCCCAAGATAACAGGTGCACTTCTGCCCAGGACCCTCCTCTGCAGAGCCTGAGCGAGCAGCTGTGCGCCAGGGCCGAGCAGAGTGTGCCTTCCGGCCACCTCGGGGCGTTGGGTCAAATGCTGGGACTGCCCCTGGGACTGGGCGCCTGCCTGCCCCCACTGCCATATCCCATACCTCCCAGGAAGATCCCTGAACATTGCTCCTTTCTTTCTAGTTTATCTTAGGGTTCCCCATCACTCAGTGGCCAGGGGTGCGTGAAGTTGCCCTTCAGGCCCTGCTATAAGTGTTCCCAGGTGCTCAGAGTACAGTCACTGGCGCACCCAGGGCTGTGCCCCTACAGCTTGCCCTGCTGGCCCCTTGGGCCTTGAGCTCTCCAGGAAATGTGACCTCTTGTGAGTGAGGTGACCCAAAGGTGTTGAGACAGAAAGGAACAACTTAGGAAAAGGCTGGGGAGGAAAGAAATGATGGCAGCAGGGGAACACAGAGGAAAGGGAAGAGCAGAATGTTTTGTGCTGTTGCTGCTTTTACTTCCAAAATAGGTCTTTAAAACCATCGTTCTGTAAGCGAATGAATTACAATGAGGTTATTTAGAAAGTAGAAATGTTCTTGATCAGAAACCCTGTCCACCTTCACTGAAAAGGGCAGGAAGCAGCTCTCTGACCTCCTACAGGACAGCAGAGGAAGCATGCTAGCTAATCCTGTGACGTGTCATTACCCTTCCTGTCGCCCTGGACCATTCACAGACAAGAAGTAGGAATCTTTTTAATTTTCTCTGCAAATGTATTCAGCTGGACTTTAGAGCTCTTTCCACACAGAACCTGTTCTTTGCTCTGTGCACTTCGTTGTTCTTCACCCTTTCATGGGGTGCAGTTGTCTTTGTGTACTTTGGTTGACAAGCTAACACTTTCCTCCTGTCCTGATGGGAGGAAGTCGTTCTCCCAAACCCTGGAAACCCTGAACATGTGATAATGCGCAAGTTTCCCTTCTGGAGTTTGAGGAGAAGCAGGGCTTTGCCCTTGAAGCAGCTGGCTCAGCATGCACTGTTCTCTCACCAGAAGACACAGTTCCAAAGAGGGTGGTGTGCCACTTCAGCGGCAAGGCCTACGCCGACGAGGAGCGCTGGGACCTCGACAGCTGCACGCATTGCTACTGCCTGCAGGGCCAGACCCTCTGCTCCACCGTCAGCTGCCCGCCTCTGCCCTGTGTCGAGCCCATCAACGTGGAAGGAAGTTGCTGCCCAATGTGTCCAGGTACAGCAGCCCCCGTCCTTCCATTTTCCAGGGGGTCGTGTTGATGGAAGGTGGAATCAGAGCAGACACAGAGGTGTCTTCTGGACCCTGTTGACATCAGGTTCCATCTCCAAAAAAGGAAACAGTGCCCTCAGGCCTGGCGCATTCTGCCCTACGTGGTAAGGAAACTGCTTAAGCCCTTGCAATTGGCCAGGTACCCCCAGAAAATCAAATATCCCCCCAAGTTGTCTCCAGTTTCTCTGATGTTCAGGTGAAACCTGACCACGGGGGTACCTGATAACTGGGCCCGGTGCCCGCACTTCCACCTGGCAGAGGTGCTTTCATGCTGTGCTCAGGCCTACGGACAGTGGCAGCAGGTAGAAAGAGCTGCAGGCCAGCGTCTCGGGCTAGGGACGACCTGGGTCTAGGCATGGAGTCACAGTAGCACTGATGTCTTTTTGTTGCTGAAAGATGTATCCTTTTTCTTAGAATTGTTCATAGGTGGCTTTCCTCTTAATTTCAAAATAAAGGGAGATGGTCCTGTATACTTGTACTTCAGGACTCTGAACTAGAGATTTAGGTATCTAGGGATAAAGGAAGCATGGATGTTTTTTCAGAGCTGAGCTAAGGTTAGAGGAGCAAACGGATAAAAGGACAAGCCCTGAGCTACTGAAGGTGAGCAGTGAGTGTCGTCATGAGGCAGCACTGGTCTCACAGATGCACCCCCAATGCTTAGTCTAGTGACTACTTAGGAGATGTTGAACAGTGATGACATAATTACCACTAAGTCACCCTCCTCCATCCTGAGGCCAACCCCCATTGCATGTGTACCCCCACCATTATGCCGTGCTTGCTTCTGGGTTTCCCATGAAACCAACCTGTAGGCAGGAAGGAGGGAAGAGCTGCTGACCTCGCAGGCTGAGTCCTTAGCTCACATGCACACCCAGGTAGTTCTTATCCCCAAGTCATGCAGCCCAGAACCTGTGAGGACCAGCACCTTTTCTGGTCCCTCAGAATAGACGTTAGAGTTTTTACTCAGACCGTGCTTTCTATAGCGATAGTATTTTCAGTAAGTTCTCTTCAACTCTTGAGTTTCAGGGATGTGTTAGTCCTTTGGAAACTAAGTTTCTGGCCGAAAAGGCTTTATAATTTAAGAGGAAACAACTAGAAAGCTAAGGTAAAAGGGACTTCAGAAAACCTGTACTTTGAATCAGAAGGGCTAGAGTCCAACCCCGCTGGGTCTCACATGCATAATTGTAGGCAGCTTACTTAGCCGCTTGCATTTATGTCCCTGTTGTGGAATTCAGTTAACTCATGCTTTTCCCTCCCTCAACTTCAAGGTTTGCGTCTCAAAAGGCTGGTGACTGTAGGATCGACAGACTAAGCAAGTTTATGAGTACCACAGACCTTAGCCTCAGGAATTACTTCTTTAAAATGTTGGACTAATTATTAGGCAGGTGAAAGGAAGGATCTACAAATCTCTTTGCAGGCACCAAGAAAAGCACTGAGTTTTTTCACTGACCCCTTTCAGAATGTGGCTGAGAAAAACACCTGCTGCCTCATAAATCGAGGCCTCCTCAGCTATGTGTCATGTGGTAGTTAAGTGGCCAGTGTGTCTAGGACCAAGTTAGATGATGTGAAGATACTTACTGCCCACTGTACATGGTTCCAGCGATAACAAAGGGACCATTTAAGACTGGACCAAGCAGCACCTAGTGACTGAGCCTACAGTCCACTCCCATTCAGAGGAAGAGATTGGTGGGTAAGTGGCTCAGAAATGCAGTGAAAAGTGCTTCAGCTCTTTCACTTCCAGTGACATTTTATATAAGCCATTCAAGATTCAGGGATTAAAGAGCTGATGGAATAATTTAAGAAAAAAGTACTTCCATTTTAGTCAGCAGCCATCAGTTTGCACAGAATTGGAGCACCGAGCTATCTCCCACCACTGCAAAGCAGTGGAGTCCATTCTTACTGTTTAATGATGGAAATACAGAAACATTCATGTCTCGGGTAATACATTGAATTAAGCCCTTCCATAGCTTCTTAGGAGAAATGTCTGTCTTTCAGAAATGTATGTCCCAGAACCAACCAACATACCCATCGAGAAGACAAATCATCGTGAAGTTGACCTGGAGGGCCCCATGTGGCCCACACCTGGGGAAAATGACATAGCTCATCTCCCTAGAGGTAAGTATTGGAGTCAGTTGAGAGCTGCTGCTCTACTGTTTAAGTTGGGGCAACCTTTTAGATGTGTGCCTTAATTCTAAGTGTGATTGGATGACAAAGTCTTCAGGTAACTGGATGAAATGCTCCTCTCTGGCCCCACATGATCAGAGATTGAGTGATGATGGGAAGAAATATGTTACTAGTCTTACAAGCTTGGTTTCTAGAATTTCTACCAAATTTCTGAGTAGACTTTGTAGGCAGAGTAATAACGTATGGTAGCACTTATGCATTAATTTACTCTCCCTTTCTAGGTAGTTTTCACTTCATTATATATGACGATTCTTCCATTCCCCAGGTTTATGCCATGTTTTGCCCACCCCCACTTGGGCTGTAATAGACTCAGTTGCCTCTATCTAAAACATGACAGGGCTTCTATCCACATTGCCTTTGCCGTGACTCAATACTGTCTCCTCCAAAGACATCTTCAAAATCATTGCTTTTACATTAGTTCTTTTGGAAGAAACAGTATTCATTGTTGGAGAGATTGCTGGTCTGTTATCTGTTACTCTGTATTTCTTAAATGTTATGCTTGGATCAAGCCAGAGTTGCTCTGCCTGAATGGTTCGCCATAATAGTGTCAGTAACAAGAAAACTGACATTTCTGCACTTTGATTTTAAAGACATTATGAATCTTAATTGATACTTGTACTAGATAAATTCTGCTTTGATGTTCAAAGCAGGCCATATAATTTAAGTGCTACATTTTGTAAATAGGTCTCATTCCAAGCTTCGTTTTTCCTTTCACCAAGACTTTAATATTCTTGATCGACACTTCCTATTTGCACACAAGTAGGGAGTTTTGCTAGTATTTTCTGCTTCAAACCTTCAGAAGACTCTAGGTTATTAGTAATCAAAATATACTTCGTCAATTTTAAATCTACAGAAGAATTTTGACTTAAGCTAGCATCATCCTGCCCAATTAGTAACCTTGTAGACAGATACTACAGACTTCTACCATGTTTAGCATAGAATAGGAAGCAAACACTTCATCACTATTTGCAAGGTAATTCATAAAAATTCTGGTTTAGGGTCCTTGCTGGTGGCCCCCTCAGCATGTACTTCGTTGAATTTGCCTGTTCTTCTCCCCACTCTCTCTGGTGAAGCCTTTCACTGCCTTTGGCCTATACCCCAGTTCTGTATGCATATATAAAAAAATCGGTTTAGGTAACATATGCTTGTACCTTTTCTCTCCTAGATATGGGTCACCTCCAGGTAGATTACAGAGATAACAACAGGCTGCATCCAGGCGAAGATTCTTCACTGTATTCCATTGCCTCGGTCGTGGTCCCCATAATAATAGGCCTGTCTATCATCATAGCATTCCTATTCATCAATCAGAAGAAACAGTGGATACCACTGCTTTGTTGGTATCGAACACCAACTAAGGTATTGTCCTGGAAACATTTCACGCTCTCAAGTGCTAAAAACGTGCACATTTGTATTTACCTAAAGTTGCTTCTAAGGTTGCCAGTGGCAATTTTTACTTAACGTTTTTCTGCCTTTGAAGCACTCAAATGCACCTGAGGCTGTGGTAACCAGATCCATACTGTACTTACCCAGGGTCAGCCACTGAAGTAGCTACTCACTGGATCCTGACTTTCATAGCTCCATGTGAACGTGTTCAAATAAATACCCCTAAATTAAAATTATAGTGGTTTAGAATAGAAGTTAAAATGGGTAACTTGTATCAACTCAGACTGGGGGTGTCCCAGAATTCCAAAGGACAGGAAAAATATCGAAGTAATAAGAGGAAGAGATTGGGCAAATGATTAAGAGAAATGATTCTTCCTAATTCCACCCCCAAAAGATCCTGCCACCTTAAGAATTGAAAAGTTTGAATAATTAATCCAGTTGCACATCCTGCTAGCCCTTCCATCTGAAAGGCCTGTTGTGCTTTCACCAAATGCACCATGGGCCATTTTCTCCCCATGCACAGCCTGGACTGGTCCCAACTGTCTACCACCTTAAGTCCACTGTGACACCGCCCCCCCCCCACCCTCTGAACATCCTTAAACAGCCTAGTGCTTAACAGCGATGTTACTTCACCGCTCACCATAGTCCTTCGTCCACCCCACTTGAAGCAGGGACTGACATTCCACTTTGTCGGACTCTTTTACCACTGGGCTGACACCAGGTGTAGTAGTCAGCCTCACTGTGTGGGAAAGTGTTGTCGCCCTTGAACTAAATGTCCCCTCACTTGGGGCACATAAAGGAGCTAATTCCTTGTGGTTTTCCTCCCCTCGTTACATAGCCTTCTTCCTTAAATAACCAGCTGGTATCTGTGGACTGCAAGAAAGGAGCCAGAGTCCAGGTGGACAGTTCCCAGAGAATGCTACGGATTGCCGAACCAGATGCTAGATTCAGCGGCTTCTACAGCATGCAAAAACAGAACCACCTACAGGCAGACAACTTCTACCAAACAGTGTGAAGAGAGGCAACGCAGATGAGGTTTGAAAAGACAGAAAATGACTAAATCTGCTCTTAAAAGTAAACTAGAATTTGTGCACTTGCTTAGTGGATTGTGACTTGATGTACAGCGCTGAGATTTTACTGGGATGGGCTCTGTCGCCGGCAGTGTGCAGGACACGCATTCCCACTTTTCCTCAAGATAACTGACCAAGTGTTTTCTTAGAACCAAAGTTTTTAAAGTTGCTAAGACATATTTGCTTGTAATATAGCTGTAGAGATATTTGGGGGTGGGGACAGTGAGTTTGGTTGGGGCAATGGGGAGGAGGGGTGGTGTGGGGAAGACAAATTGGTCAGCTTGGTTCAGGGAGAAACCCAGTAAAATTAAAGCGACTCAATAGCCCAAAGGATATTGTTTCCTGCTTGTTGGCTGAAGACTGCACGGGTTGCTACAAAAGCTCAGGCCTGAAAGAGCAGGAAACAAAGGCCTAGAGATCAAGCTGCCGTGACCACCTTAGAGCCACCAGACAAGCGCATCAGAACCTCTTGATAGCCATCCCAGGTCTAAAGCCACACGTTTCTTTACTATATCCAGTCACAACTGCAGTAGGTGGTGAGGAGGCCAGAGAATGTGGTAGCAGCATCTCTCTAAAGCGGGTTGCTAAGGATATACACATTTATACCTTTTGCTGCTTTAGTTTCCTTCCAAGCCAATCAGCCAGTTCCTAGCAGAGTCAGCGAATGAACAAGACTAAGGCATTTCTTGGTGTGAGCACTGGAGCTTTTCTCACAACAGCGGGCAGGAGGGTGAAGGACACCAGGCATCCCCAGGGGCTACTTCATTGTTGGTTGTTGCTTTGTCCTGTTATATTGTTGGTTGTTCATAGTTTTTGTTGAAGCTCTAGCTTAAAAAGAAACTTTTTAAAAAAGACTGTTTGGGATTTTTTTTCCTCATTATATACTGATTCTACAAAATAGAAACTACTTCATTTTAATTGTATATTATTAAAGCACCTTTGTTGAAGCTCAAAAAAATATGCCTCTTTAAACTTTAGCAATTATAGGAATATTTATGTAACTATGCTTCAAAAAAAAAACAAAAGTATTTGTGTGCATGTGTATATAATATATATGCATATATATTTATACACATACAATTTATGTTTTCCTGTTGAATGTATTTTTATGAGATTTTAACCAGAACAAAGACAAACAGGCATTCCATATCAATGCTTTCAATCACTTACAAATTTTTGAATAATACAAATTTCATTCTACGTGCAGTTAAATTGGGAAGATGTGTGAGAGTATCCTTGTGTGTGTTTCTGTGTACACACACACCTTGGTCAGCCAGCATCACACCTGCTACAAGAAGATATTCTTTTACTAAAATATTCCTCATTTGGTTTTGGTTGGTTTTCAATTTGTTCACTGGCCAGAGATATGATAGCAGTTTTTCTGCATCACTAATCAGCTCCTGGATTTTTTTTTTTCTCTTTCAAACAACTGTTTGAAACAACTACTGGAATATTGTCCATAATAAGCTGGAAGTTTGTTGTAGTTTGCCTCAAATATAACTGACTGTATACTATAGTGTTAACTTTTCAAACAGCTCTTAGCACTTTTATACTAACTACCCATTTGTGCATTGATTTCTTTTAAAAATGCTTGTTGTGAAAGACACAGATACCCAGTATGCTTAATGTGAAAAGAAAATGTGTTCTGTTTTGTAAAGGAACTTTCAAGTATTGTTGTAAATACTTGGACAGAGGTTGCTGAACTTTAAAAAAAATTAATTTATTATTATAATGACCTAATTTATTAATCTGAAGATTAGCCATTTTTTGTCTTAGAATATCAAAAAGAAAAGGAAAAGGTGTTCTAGCTGTTTGCATCAAAGAAAAAAAGATTTATTATCAAGGGGCAATATTTTTATCTATTTCCAAAATAAATTTGTTAATGATATGCTACCAAAATAGACTTACATCAGCCTGATTAGTATAAAATTTTGTTGACAATTAATCCATTACTGGCATAAAAAAAATCTTTATCAAAAAATTGTAAATGCTTGCTTTTTGTTTTTTCCAATCATGGCCATATTATGAAAATACTAACAGGATATAGGACAAGGTGTAAATTTTTTTTTTATTATTTTAAAGATATGATTTATCCTGAGTGCTGTATCTATTACTCTTTTACTTTGGTTCCTGTTGTGCTCTTGTAAAAGAAAAATATAATTTCCTGAAGAATAAAATAGATATATGGCACTTGGAGTGCACTGTAGTTCTACAGTTTGTTTTGTTTTCTTCAAAAAACAAAGCTGTAAAGGTATTCTTTGCAACTTGGTTCTTAATATCAAACTTCCTTGATTGAAGCCCTATGCTCACAGATACTTATGCCAAGATCTAGAAGGTCCTACATAAGAAAACATCATACCTGATGGGAATGTCTCACAGACCCAGAAAAAGGGCAGAACTTCTATCATCCATAGCAGCTCAGCATAACCGGGAAGGCCCTCTCTTCACTCGTTAGCTTCATGAAGCTAATTGGGATTTCACCAGCTTGTGCACTACAATGATGGACTCTGTGTGGACAGTAAGGGAAAGAATCTAGCACTGTAAGGGAAAAAAAAATTAAAGTCTTCAAATATATATTACTTTTTCCCCCAACATTTATTATATGACATTGACTTGATTGAAACTGGCAGAGGTACTTCATGATTAGTGATGCAGTAGCCATTTCCAGAATCAGTACTGTGGGAAAACACATGAATAAAATGGAACACAGGATGGGAAGTGGGTAATGTTGCAGCATACCGTTTCTTAAGCACCTTAAAGGATGCAAGCTCCTTTTAAAGTACACTTCACATAAAACATTTAAACATCTAAGTAAAAGTGAGTGAATGGCAACTTAATGGTTAAAATTTGAACAACAGTGAAACATGCAACAAACTAAAGTCAGTCTTGTCTGACAGTTTTGATATTTACTAAATACCAAACCAACATAACACATCTGGTTATTCTGGTTTCACTGCTTCCAAGAATAGCCCAAGTTTGTTAAATCTCAGTCTCTCTGGACAACACTGATAGGTAATATTTATACTGATAATTCTCTTACAAAAATCAATGTTGGTTTTTGCCATCAATGAAGAACAACTATAGATAAATTTCCCAATGGTTTAGCCTAGTTCTTCATTGCAGGTTAGAACTAGAAAGCCTTAAAAACTCAATGAAAAAATGTAACTGCACAAGCACAATTCTTATTACTCCCCTTTACAAAGCTGGAGAAGAGTTCATAATTGTTAGTATTTAACAAAAACCATCTCTAGAATTCAAAATAGTGCCATAGTTGTTCTGGCTCTATCATGAGTGAAGGCATGATCTATTAATACTGAATCCAAACCCAGGTTCAAGTGTGCCGAGCTTCCAACAGCAGGTCCTAATGGCAGCCAGCTTTCAGAACAACACGACAGGAAATAGAGCCTGTAGTCCATGCAAGACAGCTGCTCCCGGAGTGACACTGCCCTATGTCGGACACAGAACTGGAGGAAGAGAAAGCAAGCTTTTCAGTGGAAGTGTGTATGGTAAGTCCTCCACGTTAAGCACCTTAAAGGGCAACTTCACCCGGAATGACACAAAAGCAGGTCCTTGAATAACATGGTTTCTGCAAGATGAGCAGAAATGCATCATAGGCTTAAAGGATTACTGGAGGTCCTGCGCTATTTCTGTGTGTTTACATAAGATATACAATGCATAGAAAATGTATGTACATGTATATAAAACACATAAGTAATGAAAACTATACCAATGCAAAGATCTACAGCAGCAATTTCTTTAAAAAAAGTACACCCAACAATGAAGTTTTCCAGACAGTTACTAGAATTTCCCAGAAATGAGGTTTAAAAGACCATGTCTTGTAGGGCACCACCTAGAGGCAAAAGCCCAGGACACCAGTCTAGTGGCAGGAGGCAATTTACACAGTAGACTGGCTCCCTGTGAAGTAAGAAGGGTTTATTTCCTGCACTCCTTTCTATTGCAACTAGGATCCACGAAGTAGCAGCCCGTGGTACATCTGCTGAGGGCAGTGGTGGCAGCAGCAGGTTTTTGTGGGGTAATTAAGCTGGTAAGAGAAAGATGCTTGATTAGCCCAGTGAGCATCCCCCTGTCTTCCAGGCCAAACATGGCCATGTTCTACCTCTCCCTTCCCTATCAGAAGTTTGAGGGTACAGCCAGGCAGGCACGCCAGCCATTGGTGATAAAAAACTGAGACAGTCCCACCGAGACCAAAGGAGAGTTCTTTCCCGCTCCCCCAGGCAGAGGTTCAATTCCTGGTCCCCAGGAAGAAGAATAAATAGCAGACTAAGACCTCTGGCTTGGGTGGAAAAGAGCATTTTAAATTACCCATCACTGTCCCACCCACATGAGCACCTGTGTGTGTTGCACTCCCCAAACCACACTGCCTTAGTCTAAACCCAGCTTCTCCACCCAGTCCTCAGCACAAAGCCAAAGGAAACCGCATGGCGCGTGCAAAGCTGGTGGAGTGGGCGAGCTGGGCTCACAGACAGGCTGGGCCTGGGGCCAGGTCACTAGATGGCACCAGAATGCCCTGAGGCACCTGAGGTACAGCCCCAGGTGCCAGAGGCAAAAACTAAGTCATTTCTCCCCAGAGCATGCTGGTCTCTGGGTCATCAAATTCTTCCCATGCAGCTAAATGAGAAAGCAGCTAGAGAGTGCTCCAGAAGTTCATAATTTCCCTGGCCCTAGGGACCCACTGTAATTAGAAATTAAGACATATTCTTTGTCTTATTCATGGTCACATCTATAAGAAACCTCAGACAAATCCAGCTTTCATACCAAAGCTAGCACCACATAAAAGCAAACAAAGATGTCAGATACTTTAGAAAAGCCCTTCATCAGAAAATCAGCTTCTTAAAAAACAATGTCATTTTAGTTTTGCCAACCCCCCTCCACCCTATTAACCTACTAAATGGCAGATACCACATCAAGTCTCACAGATGGTACTAAGTGTGACTCACTGAGTTCTTGGGGTCCACTGCTGAGGCCCACTGAAGCTATGGGTGAGGTCCCATCTGCTCAGTTAATGTCTCAAAATCCTTTTGTGATACCTTCAAAACCTGTTACCTAAATGGCTGCTTTTTAAAAAAACATTTCATTTCCTAGACTAGAATTTTACAGTCCCCTTACCCAGATTTTACTCTCCCCCAGAAAAATGCTCTTAACTTTTCTGAAAGATCTTTGCCTCATGACTCTTCCCCTTCTGTGTAATCCTGATCTTGTTCCCAAGACTCATGACTCATTCCCATGGCCCTGGGTGTCTGTCTGCCCCTCCCCTCCCTGTCCCTTAAGCCAGTATTGCATATTCCCTTTGGAACTGTTAATTGATTTGATAGCCCCCCATCCTCTCTCATCTCCCCTCTTTCTCCTGTCCCAGGTGGCTGAGGCTGCCCCTCGCCAACCCTTCTGCTGATACAGTGAGAGGCCGTCACGGCAGCACCCTCACAGTGCTTCCTCCACTGCCGCCTCCTGCATATCAATTCACTCTGGAAATCATTAGCCACCTGGGCCCTCAAATGCATACAACCCCAGTTTATAATAGTGGTATAAGTAAGCCACGTATCCTTATCCTGCACACCACTAATTAAAGATGTGCATTTAGAGGTCGCTTTTACCCTCCTGGCAAGACACCGAGTTTACCGGCTCATTACCGCTCCCAGCCATGGTGAACACACCACCTGAAACCCACCTTTCAGTATGTAGTCAGTTAACAGACTTGGAACTTTCTCACTGTCGTCTTTCATGGCACGGAGAACTGTGAAATAAGAGAAGGGAAGGGAAAAGGAACAAAGTCAAGTTCAGATAAAAAGATTTGACTTCAATTAATTATAGCATATAATGAATTCCGGTTAAGGCTATAATCATAAATAAGGCTATAAACAATAGGGATGCTTTCTGGGGAAGGGAAAACAACAGCAAATACACACAAATTTATTTGCCTGAGTATGTCCTTATTCAAGTAAGAACTTTCCAGTTACCAGGGATTTATTTCTCCCACTTAAAACTGCCAACCAGTTGAGGCAGAAAAGAAGAACTAGGTTATGTACAGAGCATCAGTTTTTTTGTGAGGAATACTGGACAGTAAGCTAGCGTGTTCTGGCCTAGGAGCTCAGAGGCTGGAGCGCCTCTGCACCACAGATCTCACAAGCTGGACAGGAGATAAACGAACAGTGAGCTGGATCTCGTGGCAGCACACCTTCTCCAGACTTCTAAAGCACAGACAGGAAGCTGACTCTTCCCAGCTGCCTACTCTTCTGTACTTAGCCCTCAGAACACAAAGTTTCTTCCCTGAAAATGAGAGTAACTACTAGACCTGTCTCCAGGCTGCTCGTGAGAATGGACTAGTTCAGATGAGGCTCTGGGAATGGTGCCCGCCGTCGCCCTGCTGTGCAAGCATTAAATGCTACCGGCTCACAAGGATGGCTGGTGGAGCCCTGTTCTGGTACAGTGTCGTGCCACCACGTCCGCGAAGAGGCCACACACCCGTCATCGCTCCCAGGAGCCTCCCATGCTGCTGTCTTCAGGTGGCGGCACCAGAGGAGCAGGGTCTCCCAGAGTTTCCAGGTAACCACTTTTCTGACATTCAAATTAAAGACTGTCCTTCCGCCTTCTGCCTTCACAGCAAGCCTGGCCGCCTCTGTTAAGCAGACCTTCATGCTGAGCCCTACCTTCACTCACAGGCAGACTGCAATTGCGGTGATCTACAAAGACTCATCTAGGAGTCGGCTGAAGAACCTTTTGATGTGGCAATTAGCAGCTGGAGAGGTCAAGTGAATTCCTTAATCTGAGAAGCTGAGGCTTCTCAGCAATTCCTGGCTTCTGAGCAATATCGAAGGTCCCTGCTCTACTCGCCATCTGCTTCCTTCATGTTTTAGACTTGTTTTCAGTCCTACCTGAAGTCACACCCCAGAGCCAGCCTCAGGGAGAGTGGAGCGGACATGGAACTCTGAGCCAGCCTGAGTGCAGCTCTGTGACCCAGAACACACCCAACCCCATGAGTTCTGCACAGTACAGGGCTGGCCACCCACTTGTTCATTCTTTATTTCAGACTGACTGGCATCACTGGATTTATCCACAATTTCTTTAATCTCTAATGCTTTGCAAGTGTTATTCACTTTGGCTCAGGGAAGAAACTTCAGGTCACTCTTGTGTTCCCTCTGCTCAGGCCTACATGTCCTTCATTTTCAAAATACGTACCATCACTGTCAATATCCCTCCACCCAAGGCACTGATATTTGGTTCACTCTTCTGGAGCCAAAGTGAATGTGGCTGATTTACAAAGAACTACAACTACCTAATCAACAAATTCGATCACTTCAAAAAAACTAGATTGAGTGAATTCAACTTACCCCAAATTACAAACACATTAATTTATTTACTACGAAGTAATAAACAGAGCAAATATTTTTATCCTCCATTTTCACTGTGACCCAGAAAGGATAAGGGGCTTCCAAGGACACCCCTGTAAGTAACGGGTAGAACCAGATTTCAGGGTTCATTTTTGGCTAACAGAAGAGAGATTTAATATAACGTATGGTTAACTCTAGCAACTTATTTAAAAATGCAAACTCCTTGAAGTGCAGTACTTCTGTCTGCTTTGTTCACTGAAGTCTCTCAGGTGGCCAGAGCATGGCCTAGCACAGAGGAGACGGTCCCTGAACATTTACTGAATGAATGAATTCGTAAACATTACTGTCATTTTATGTTCTCCCTGTGCTTACTACCTTGGCTTCTACATTCATGAGTATCTTAAATCACACTTCTTAATGTTTCCTACTCATTGACTGACAGTCATATTTATGTAAGATCCATAGAGCAATTTTTTCCCCCAATAAGCAGATACAGTCTCTAAGAGACAGAGAACCAAGCCGGGGGCGTTTATGCAAAAGCAGCATAGAAATACTTCAAAAGATTAGAAAACATACACATCTTCTCTAGACTTAGTGTTTTGTTTGATGTCATGGCCACTTATGGTTTCATCTCCAAAAAAATGACATCATCACTTACATCCCAAATCGACAGAACATTAAAGCAACAAAATCAGCCAACTGGTATCTTTAGTTAGAATCAACACAATAAAGTGACATTTGCATGTTGTCTTTGCTTACTTTTTGTTAATATCTGAAGATCTTCCACAGATGGTGGTCCACCTTTTTTATCGTAAGGAATGACTGTTGTCAAGTACTGCCAAATTAACAAAATATATGTTAATATATGTCACTTAAATCTGAAGTAACTGATCTGCAAAAAATTGACAGTTCTGAGGTTTATTTCATAACATGAAATGAGCTGTTTTAGTAACAAACACAGGAATCTTACAATCTCAAAAAGAGCTCAATTTTTTTGCCCACCTCTCTGCTCATGTACGCCCTGTCAACATAAAATTCACCTTTTTGCCTTTCAGTTACTACAAGTTTCATAGAAAAAGTCTGAATCTCTTCATTTTTAAAGTTTTATCTTACATTTTCATGTTTTTTCAACACATTTTTAAATTAGTAACTTAGATGAAACAGTTTCATACATACCTAACAAAATAATTCTCAACACTCAAATAATTCTTTAGATCATTTTATTCCTGGATGAACAAAATGGCCATTAACAACTTTAATCCACTTGCCCAAATAATTTTAGAGATTTACTATTATTATTATTACTATGTTATTATTTCATTACATAGGTAGTTGTAAATGTTTAACGATACTAATGGAAAAGTGAAAAGGGAAAATTGCCGAATGGATAATGAAAAACGACATCTGGAATTGAGGTTCACTGGAATCTAGGTTCACTGATTATAAAGGTTCACAGGTAACAGAGTTACGTCCTACAACTATGTTCCATGAAAGCATAATCTAAAATTATCCTCAATTCTCCTATTCTGACCACTCCAAAAAAAAAAACCTAATGCTGTGAAGTTTGCGTTAATTCATCAAATCTTCTGGTTTTACTTGATGTTTCTTCAACCCCACCCTTATTTAATTAGCCCCTGTCCTAAATCTCAGTCCTACTTAACCCCTTTGAGTGATTTCATTTGTCAAAAAAAAGGGGGGGGGGGATAAAAGCTGCTTAACAGTAACTGGATCCCCACATACAGAAAAGTAGTCAGACTTAAATACCTTAACTTCCCACCATCTTTTTGGTGCAGACTTCTCCAGGCAGTGGATCAGTCTGCAAGTTACTCTGCTACCTGGTGGCCTGGAGGCCGGTGAGGTAGCTCAAAAATAAAAGTTAAACCACGGTCTTGTGGGGCCCCTTTAGGAGCCACAAAATCAGTGTGAAGGAATCTCCCTTCTTTCACATCAATTATTTCCCTTCTTGAGGAAGGTGGCACTATCGTCAGTAAAAATCCTGAGCTCAAACACCTTCCTTCTGAGAAACAGCCACCAGCTACTTTCTGCACACTTCCTGTCTTCACACAAGAGCTCAACTGCAGCATTTTCTCTTCAAAGAGAGAACTTTTTAATTGTGAAAAGTAATTTTAAGCACATCTGTGAATGTCTCGATGTGTTTCCTGTGTTCATGACATTCCTCAAATCACTATACAAAAAAATGTTCATTAACAAGCAAGCGGCTGAACATCTTACTGAATACTTCTATCACTGTTTTTGGATTAATACTTGTGCCTCATTTGGCAGATAACTGAGTCATTGGCTGTATTATACATTTTAAAAACAAATGAATTTTAAATGAAAACAACTTAAAAGTGCAAAGGGACACTATACAGACACTTTTGACTTAGAATTCTGAAAAATACTGACATCTGGCTTCTTCCTCCAAAAATGAAAACTTGTTTCTCAGACTTTTAGAATTAGAATAGCATATTCTAATTTAGTAGTACATTATTCCACACATGCAATTCATTATGTCAATATGTTAATGATCTATTTGTTTAAAACTAAGAGTGAAATATGGTGCTCTAGAACATGTATTAAGAATGTACTTAGTCTACTGCCCAATGTGAAAAGTTTTTTTCTGAAGGAGAATTCTATGTATAATCAACACCATAAAGATAAGCAACTTTCTTTTCACTCTTGTAAGCAGTAGTCTTAGTAAATTAGTAGAACTGCCAGCTTTCAGGACATTCACTTACACGGAGAGTAAAAAAGCAGAGAATGAAGAAAATAAGGATAACCAAGCACCTGTTTCTCTCCACCTGAATTTCCAAAGGTGTGGCGGAGGCCATTCTGAATGACATTTGAGATCCCTTCCATGCTGAAGCGCTAAAGGCAGCAATATAGGGCCCGGAAGAAAAGGACAGAGAAAGAAGTTCAAACACTATTAGTCAGAGGACCATGATGGTTTGTGTTCCCAAGAAGCAAGCAGTTAGAAATGCCACTACTCATTCACAGAGCAGAAAAAATCATGCTGTTTTTTAAATGTTCTTGCTTCCACTTCTTTGCACGTCAAATCCAAAATCAAATGCTTTTACACCACTGCATTCATGAAAAACTTCCTGATAGAGCTAATAGATTTACTCCAGTGTAAACACTGTTGAGTGTACACATATTTGTTTAATGTGAAATATGCCAAATAACTTTGAAGATACCTTTTGATACTGTTCACCTACATTTCATTGTAAGTCTAGAAACTTAATACTAACGATATGCATATTTTCTGCTGAAGTTTACATATTTCTACCCTAAGTTTACAGAACATTTCCAGAACATTTGGCAATTGACAACAGTGTTACTTGCAGAGCCGATTACTGCCGCCCACTCACTCTTAGGCCACCCACCACTGCCTTGTGCAGAAAATGGGAACTGTGTGTGCACATGGGTCTCCTGGAAAACAATCCCACATGCCCAGAGGCCCCCTAAAACCTCTGCAGACTTGTCAACTTTGTTTCAAGGAAACAGTTCTAGCTTCCTTGCCCTAGCAACCGCCAGGACTTCCTAGAATTCACTGTATGGAAAATTGAGGTTTTTCCCCTCGTAGGTCAGTTATCTTGATTTGTAACCACTCTACAATGTCAGACACCATAAAGAGTCCAGAAGCACCTCTGTGGTTGCTGAGTAAAGGACTGCGATGTATTTGTACAGCATGACTAATCATAAGGAAAGGTATCCTGGAAGGAAGTTAAGGCCTGATTCACTGGGTGTTTGCTTTCGCTGGAATTTTATAGGGAACTGTTGACTCCGTAAAACACATCTGAAGAGCTAATCTAAAGAATATTTTACCAGACCCCTAGAAATAGAAGAAAAGAAACCAAGGCAGTGGTCTCCACTCAGGAAATGTAGTGAAACGGTTTGGGAAGTGTAGTCTTGGGGACAACACCCCCACCCCTGCCAGGAGTAACTGAAAATCTTCAGGGGTCCCTGAGCTCATAATTATTTTCATAAGAAATACTAAGATTAGGCACTCCCTGGTGGCACAAGGGGTTAAAGCACAGCATTATAAAGCTCTCCAAAGCCACTGCAGCATGAGTCCATCCCCTGCCAGGGAGCTGACCCACATGGCGTGGCAGACCTCTCCTGACCCGCCCGCTGCTCCCCTCAGCAGTGCACTTCGTCGATCTGCCTGTTCTGCTCCCCACTCTGATTCTGTGTCACAAGTGCCACAGCTGCACGCATCTCTGGCCTGTACCCCAGTTCTGTATGAATAAATAAATCTTTAAAAAAAAGTACTAAGATAAATTTGCCACTTTCATGCTCATTCTCGATGATTTATAGTGAAATATTTGACACAGCAGACTGAAAACAAGATCTGAGACTCGAGTACTCTTCCATTAAGCCAGATATTAAATGTAAAATAAAGACAATTGCATTTTGCTCACTCAATTTTTAAAAATAGTCTCCATAAAAACACAGTATTTTAAGAAAGCATTCATGAACATTGGGCATTTTGTGAAGAATTAGTAGGTCTTGTAAGTGGTTATCTAACACAATCAATATACCCGACATAAACACACACAGCTGAGCCCCAGTGAACGCTGAGCGTGAACAAGGAAGCCCGACAACAGGGCGTTAGAAGAAGCAAAGACCGAAACTGCTTCATCTGGGAAGGAACTCAAAATTGTCACAAGTGCCACAGCTGCACGTATTTCTGAAAATCTGAGCCCCAAGCTTTACCATGTCGTAGGGAGATGGCACAACCCCTGAGCTGTCCTCCTGCCTAGGTCCCTCCCAGATCTGCTCGCTGATTTGTTTTAGCGTGAATCAAGTCTGGGCCAGACACGTGAGTAGACTTGCTTGACATCACAAACAGCTTAAGCGTCACCTTGATGAAGTGGCTAGTTTTTTTTGTTTGTTTTAAAGATTTATTTATGTATGCATACAGAACTGGGGTACAGGCCAGAGGCGCAGGGGTGGTGCGAGGAGTCACTAGAGGCAGAGTGGGAGCAGAACCAGGCAGATGGACGAAGCACACTGCTGAGGGGAGCACTGGGTGGGTCAGAAGATGTCTGTTGTGCCATGTGGATCACCTCCGGGGCAGGCAGGGATCAAACTCATGCTGACGTGGCTTTAGCTTCTCTGTGCTGTGCCTTAACCCGCTGCGCTACCAGGGAAGGCCCTGAATGGCTAGTTTTAAAAGAGAAACCTGGCCATCACTACTTCTGTAGCTTTTTCACATGCTTTCATACAAGCTATTCACATTTTTAAAAACAGATTATCAAAGTGGGAACTTCTTAGACTGCACTCTACAATGATGGGAATTTTTTTTTCAAATAAATCAGTTTGCTTAAAAAAATTATTTTCATCAAGCGTATTTCCTTTCAAAAGGAACAATACTAAGTATTCTGTATATTAAGACCCCATTACCTGTAGACAGTTAAAAGGAGATACAAGTTCAGAAAAACTCCAAGTGCAAATTTTTATAACCCAGTTAATGGGAGGATACTACTTTTATATTTCAACAGCATGTTCTGAAAATTCTATCTTACTTCTCTGATTAGAAACCAAATTCCTGTTTCTGGTGGCGGGGTGGGGGAGGGGAGTTCTAAATTGATGCAAGTTCTTAAAAGTCCTAAGATAGAAAGGTAATGTAGGTGCAGTTGTGGATATTGCTGAGCCGTTTCGACTGCTAGTAGTCTGTTTGTGAAAAACAGCTCTTATGCCACTCGACTTCATGAAAATAAATGAAAATGCAGTCATGTGGGAGCCACTATACCTCGGAAAAATACAAAACAGCTGATCCTCGAGCAAGGACAGAACTCCCTGCAGATGGCTGACAGAAGCTGGGCCCACCGGACACTGCACCCTGAGCAAAAAGCAGTGTGACACGGGTGACAGACTGTTGGGGAAGTGACAAGAAAAGCAGCAAGTGCAACAGAGACAGAAGGACAACTTCGCAGAAATTTCTTCCACCAAAGCCCCAGATGCCACCAACTCCCACCTCCACAGGGTCGTACAGTAACGAGTCTGTCCCTTCACCACACTGGCAAACTCTCGCCGTCAAGTCCCCTCCCCTCCAGCCAGTTCTCTGAACAGCTTTTTCTAGAGGCCTTTCTTTGACACTGAGGTCCTCAGGCCTCTGAGACACCCCACAATCTGTCCTCCTGACACCCCTCCTGGGGTTCCTGGACATTATTTTCTCCAGAGTTCTCTTTCCAGCGCTTCTTCTGAGCGCTGCCTTTTCTCAACTCAGTAGGCAGCAGGGTCCCCAGGATCAGGTCCCTTCCTCTCACACACTCTCTCAACACTCCCACTCAGCAACGTCAGATTCTGCCTGTGCAGATGGACAGCTGCACTTTGCCGGCAGGCCTCTGGGCACACTGCGTGGCCAAGCCTCCTCTCCTCAGTCGGCCGTGCATGTTTAAAGGCGCACTGGAATCTGTGCCAGAGTATTCCTAACACTCATCAGACCTCAAGCTGGCTTTATCTCCCCTTCACACCAAAATGCAAAGCCTGTTCCTCCTGCAGGAGTCCAGACCCCTTTCTCTCATTCCTTCAAAAAACACCCATCTTGAGCCAGGTATCATTCAGGTACTCAAGATTCCCAGGGAAGGAATCGATCAAGATTGCTGCCACCCTCATGACCTTATATTTTAGGGTAAAGGGACAGCAAAGTAAGTAAAAACTAGACACTTACAGATAATGTGTACCCAGCGACAGCAGGGTAGTGAAACCCTGGATGCCTACTTTATTCTGGAAGGTCAAAGAAAAACTCGCTGAGGAGGTGACATCTGAGCTGAAACATGAATTATACACCTGTCCCGCACGAGCCACAAAGAACAATGGACAAGAGAGCTGCTTGGAGAATAAAGTCAAAAAAAAAGCAGGCCACGCAGACCTGCCAGGCACCCTCTCTGCGGCCATGCGCCGGGGCTGCAGATCCTCTCGGGCAGGACGTGACGTGACGCAGCAAACTGAGCAGTCCACTCCCCCCACAAGACAATCACCAAGATGGCCCTGGCCTCCTCCCACCCCTGTGTGCTGGCCATAGGCTGCCTCGCTGGCTGACCTCTGCACAGCAAGAGCCTCAGTCCACAGTTGACAGAGAGGCCAGATATCCCCCAGATGCTGGGCTTGATGAGTCACCACTGGTGAAAGTTCCCTGTGTCTGGGGAAAGGGCCCCTGTGCGCCACCTATGCTAGTCAGAACCAGTCATTGAGGGCCCAAGGCTGACTCCTCCCTTCCCTGGTGCCCCAATCAGCAGTCACCGTAATGTTTCTGAAATTCAACTATTTTCCCATCCCTACTGTCACCTCCTAGGTTAATTTCTAACCTGAATGCCTGCAACATCCTCCAAATCAACTCTTCCCTAGTGTCCTCCTTCAAACACTGAAGATACCCTTCCAGAAGGCAAATGTGAACCTGTAACTACCCTCCTGTAAGGACAGATGCAATGTCAGGTGCTCCCTTTCTGTGTCCACCAGGCACAAACTCATCCTCAGCACATAAGCGGCATTTATCAGGACTCATTGGCTAAAACTGCAAAATTCTTTAGCAGCTAGTGCCCGTGTCAGTGAAATAACTTCAGATTTATGTATGAAATCAGGAATCATGCCATAGTCAGAAGTCCACTTAGATAGAAAAATGTCAGACAAGAAATCAAAGACATGGGTTCTCTCCCTGGTTTGCACTCAGTGTGTGACATACAACGTCACTGATCCTGAGGATGCCCATTTCACCACCTATGAAACAGCTGAGCAAAGGGCATCAACTGGAAAGGTCTTATCTGCAAATTCTATGAAGCCATGAGCTGACTCAAACCTATTAACTTTTAGACAAATCAAAAGTCACACACTACACACACGCGCTAGTATAGCAAGGTGGAAAA